CCCCCCCCAAAAAAAAAACATTAAATATGACAGTCCCATTATTAATACAACATACCAAACGGTCAATAAGAAATAATATTAAGATAACTAATCCCAGTATAACTTGTCTTCAAACCAAACGACCCCCAAGTATTATACTAGCCAGCCTTCTAAAGGTTTAGTTTTTCATCTTCTCTGCACTTTAAAACTTCCATAGCAGTGTTAAAAAAATAATTGCCTAGGTTTTGCCAAGATTTTCATTTGGAACAATTGAGGAAGAGTAGCTATCAGCATTTTGCTTTCTTCCTCAAATTGAGATCTAAAGCTTTTGCATTTAATTGCCTCCACTTTTGTTAAACTGCTTATTTTTCCATTTTTCAGATATCTAACACATAACGGATCTAAATCACTCTTTATTAGGTATTTAAAATAGTAGAGTCTAAACTCTAAATCACAAAGATCTAAAAGTTTCTGTTGCGCATAACAGGTTTACAAATGGATGATGCAGCAACATTGGTTTCGATTTGATTTTGCTCTAGCTACAAAGCTAGCAGATTACTTGGGTAAGGAACGAAAGCACTTGAAGTGCCGGGAGATTTTTGATGACATTATTAACCAGGGACGAGTGCCGTCTGAATCTACATTCCATATTCTCATCATTGCCTATCTTAGTTCACCTGGCCCATCAGAGTTAGATGAAGCGTGTAACATCTACAATCGCATGGTGCACTTGGGAGGTCATAAGCCTCGGCTTAACTTACACAATTCTCTGTTTAAAGCTCTTTTGGGGAAGAAACCAGGCTCCAGTAAACACTTCCTGAAACAGGCAGAATTTATATATCAGAATTTAACTTCCTCGGGATTGGATATACACAAAGATATTTTTGGCGGTCTTATATGGCTTCACAGTTATCAGGATGTGGTGGATATGGAAAGAATTGCTGTGCTAAGAGCAGAGATGCGATCAAGAGGAATTCAAGAGAGCAAAGAGGTACTCCTGTCAGTCTTAAGAGCTTGCTCAAAGGATGGGGACCTGGAGGAAGCCGAACGAACTTGGTCAAAACTCCTCTCCGATGATCGTAGTCCTCCTTCACAAGCTTTTGTATATAAAATGGAAGTCTATGCAAAGAACGGAGAGCCTATGAAATCTTTGGAAGTATTTAGGAGGATGCAGAAACAACTGAGTTCCACCTCCGTTGCAGCATACTATAAGATAATAAAGGTGTTGTCTAAATCTCAAAGACTAGATCTTGCAGAGTCTATCATGTCCGAGTTCATAAACAGTGGTATGAAGCCGCTGATTCCATCATTCATCGATTTGATGGGAATGTATTCCATTGCAGGCTTACATGAGAAAATGGAGACTACCTTTCTCCGTTGCCGTGAAGTCTGCGGTCCAAACCAGACGGTTTTTAATATTTATTTGGATTCCTTGGTGCATACTGGCAATCTGAACCGGGCTGAAGAAATCTTCAATGAAATGCGTGGTGATGTTGCAATTAGTCTTGATTCTCGTTCTTGCAACAGTATTTTGAGAGGCTATCTGACCTCTGGAGAGTATGCAAAGGCAGAAAAGATATATGGTTTGATGCGCCAAAAGAAATACGACATTGAGATTGAATCTTCATTGATGGAAAAACTTGACTATGTTCTAAGCTTGCGGGAGAAAGTAGTTGAAGAACCTATTAAGCTGAAGCTCACAAAAGAACAGCGAGAGGTTTTGATGGGGTTGCTTCTTGGGGGTTTGCAAATTAGATCATATGGAGAGAGGAGGAGGAGAGTACATGCAATCCATTTTGAGTTCAATGCAGAGTCGAGGATCCACGCCATTTTAAAGGGACACATACACAATGAATTTCATCAGTGGTTAGGCTCTCACGATATGATGGTGGATGGCACTGATGATATTCCTAGTTCCTTTACTACCATCTCACATTCTTGTTTTACTTTCTATGCTGATCAATTCTGGCCCAATGGACGTCCTGGTATACCAAAACTTATACATAGATGGCTGTCACCTTGTGTTCTTGCTTATTGGTATATGTATGGCGGTTACAGGACATCTTCTGGCGATATTCTATTGAGAGTAAAGGGAAGTCGAGAGGAAGTTTTGAATATTGTTAAAGCGCTGAAAGACAAATCATTAGACTGCCGAGTAAAAAAGAGGGGGACGGTCTTTTGGATTGGTTTTCTGGGGGACAATGCTACATGGTTCTGGACAGTGGTAAAGCCCTTTATTCTTGGTGAATTAAAGGATCTCCTTAAAGCAGGTGGCTGCTCAAATGGATCCCTAGAAAACCAAAGAATCAATTTTTACAGTGGTTCGGGGTCTGACGAGAAGAATTCAGATTACAGCGATGCTGACACGTCATAGGGCCTCTTCTGATTGATGTACTGTTCTCTATGCCTTTATTGCAAGGTTTAATAGGTTATTTGAGGTTAAAAGTGTTGCTGCAGAATTCTGGCTGATAAGGTGCTCTAGTGGCTTCTTTTGATAGGTAACATTAACTCATTACTATCTCTTTGATGTGTATAGTAGTGGGTGAAAAACATATATGTAAACTAGCTCTAGAATAATCTTGTAGATTCCTCTGGTACAACACATTCGCTGAGATTTTCTCTTTCTTTGTTCCAATGACTGGTGTGGGTTACAGTTTCTTCTCTCTCTCTCTCTGGGCCGAGAGGTTTTTGCAAGGTGCCTCTTGGTTTCTAGATCTGATATGTAGTTCTATTTTTGTACTTATGAGTAATCAATTACAGCTTCTTAAGCGGGAAGAGGAAATTTGTAGTTTTAACTAATCGAGATGCATAAGTTGAAAGCATGGATTTAATTAGGAGAGTATAAGGCAATTGGTTCTAATTCCAACAGAGACAAAAAATACTAGGTGATTTCTTTCCTTCTACCTGTGCTGGTGGAAGGTAGCAGGTATCCGATGGATTAGTGTGCACACAAATTGGCCCGAACATCACCATGATTAAGAAATGTAGGCTATAAGGAAATCCAGATATTCTCAAGTTACGATATCTTGTATTCAAGAGATTCTTTTTACTGTCTTGGTAGTTGGTACACAATCCTAGTCACCTTTGATTCTCATAAGTAGCAGCAAATTGTCATAATAAAACTGGTGTAGGAGCAGAAGGCTAAATTTGCTCGTTCCTTTTGATTTGCCTGTCTAGGTAGTGATTACTTTGTTTCATGTTGATCTTCCTTGTGGAAATAGTGCTTTTCTTTATCTCTTATTTATGTTTTTATTGTAATAAACTGCTTTGCCTAATAGCTATAAAAAGTAGTGATGTGTGTAATGTTTTTGTGCACTGCAACTAGGTCTAGAACAACATATATTGATCCTTAATGTGTTATATATATATATATATATATATATTTCATTCCTATAATCTTTTAATGTTGTTTATCAAGCAGAATGACTGTCTCGGCAGAGAATTTACCGAGTCAATCAAAATGGTGCAAAGTTCTTGCTAGGTAAGGAACTTTTTGTGGTCAAAATCACAAGTGTGAGATGAATAAAGGGCTGAGCACTTTTTCTCAGAGCTGAGAATGACAGTAGAATCACTAACTTTTTTATTTTTAACGCTAAAAGTATGTAATTTTGTTGTCGGGGTGTGGGTGTGGGGGTGNGAATTGCGTCATGTCATAATATGCCAAATCAGTTGTATGAAACTCGGGATTTTGTTCATTGCAATTATTTAGTGAAAGTTGATGCTTACTCCCGTAGTAATGGAAGAGAGGATTTCATTGAATTTTTTCTCTGTTAATGACATGTTCCAGCATATGTTAGCAATCTTTCTTGTTAATTATTGCAGCTAGTCTAGTAACCTGATTCTCCAGTGAGGAAAAGAAGGTGACAAGAATAAGGCAGTGAAGAAGTTATCTGTCCTGAACTTAATAGGCCGCTATTTGACAAATCATCGATGTCTCTTTCCACTCATTCACTGCCACTGTGACTTGCTTTAATGTGCCCAAAATAATTACTTCATTGTTTTTCCACATGTTTCTAAGCCTTCTCTACAGTTTGATTAGTCAGATTTAGATAAGCCGCAGCTGTAAGAGAAACGACGCCAGAGAGGGTGGATATGATTGCATCATCAAGTACCCTGGTAAAAGTTGAAAATAGATCGTCTCATCTGATGTTATCAACAAAATACAAGATATGAGCCACAGGTTTGTTTTTTCTTTTTTGCCTATTCACATCCTTCAATATCTACACTTATTAGTGTTTCGAGTTTTTTTTTTCCGGTTGGGGTGGGA